TTTGGCGTCATCGGCGTTGACTTTTTCGCGGAGGCCTTTGACTTTGCTGATCGTGACGCTGACGGAGTTGCGTGGCGGCGTCGTCTCGCCCGGCTTCAGGTTGCCGTCGTCGTCGTAAATGCGGTGCTTCGGCAGCGGCAAATCGTTATCGTCCACCTCCGGTTTGGTATTAACGAAATGCGTCCACAGCGGCATCGCGGTCTGCTGGCGGTGTTCGGCGCACTTGACACCGTCACGAGGCCAAAAGGAGGAGGGCGGGAGAAAAGAAGCGGAAGAGTAGACAGAACGCGTGAGCACACAACACACAAGGAAAAATCAAAAAACATGTGAAAAAAAGTGCAGGGCCTTCGCCACCCCGCACTCCGGCAGACCGACAGAAATAAACCCCATACGAGGCGACACGCAACGCACAAACCGCCAAAGACCCCGCAGGGAGTCGCCGTGCCGTCAGAAGCAAAAAGTAAAAGGAAAAAAGGACCCAACCTCGTACGTCCATCGGTGCCAAGCGCATGTTTCAAACGCTCCCGAACTTCCAAATGGGCGGCCCTGCGCCCGCGACAAACGTGATTGACGTTTTCAGCAACAACGCCGTGTTAAGCGGTGACGATGTCACCCAAAGCAACGGCACGCCTACAAATCCTGCTCTTCAACTCCCGCCCAAGCCGCCACTCGCTGTCAGCTCCGTACGGAACTTCAAGTTGGAAATTGCCATCCGCCACAGTGAATGCACAAAATTCATAGCGCATCCCTCGCGGCAAGATCCCCCTCCATCTCGGTGATAATGATGTCAAGGGCCACTCGTATTTTTGTGGGGATCGTGTGGGGCGGCGCAAAGTCCTTCCGCCACCGCAGCAGCATTTTTAATCGTTAAAGGCAGTAGTGCCGCGGCGGAAGTTGCTGGCACGTGGCAGGATGTACCAACGCTGCATGCGTCCTGCAGCTTCTTGAAAGGCCGAGGATCGAATGTTTGTCCGGTTCAAAAAAAGGCAAATGAAGTTCGCCAAAAGAAAAATTTAAAAAGGCGCATCTTTCGCCAGGCGTTCTGCCAAAGTCGCGGCTTTTCTTAATTTTTTTTTATTCCCATTTTTATTTCCTTTGGCCCGCCCTGCGGCAGCAGCAGCAGCGAGAAGAAGAAAAGGGTGCAGCAAAAGAAGAGAAATAATGAATAAAAAGACAATCACTTCTGTGCAACGCGTCTTTTGTTAAAATCGATGCGGCGTCTCAGTCACCGTCAGAGGCGCCGCCAAAAATAAGTGTTAAAAGGTGAGAGAAGGAAAAGCCCTGCTACGGCCGCACCACAACATAACTCCTCGTCGAAAACCCAAAAGTCAAAATGTCACCCTCAATGAGCGTCGTGGGAACAAAAGGCCGGAGCCGCTCATTGTTGAGGCGTGTGCCGTTCGTCGAGCCGAGATCCAGCACCTGCAGCTCCATCAGCCACGCATCTTCACCGTCGCCTAACTTCTCCATCGCCTCACGCACATGAACGCAGAGCTCGCTAACGTCCTGCGCTGAACCCCAGTCAATCTCCCTGCCTTCCATGCACGCAGTTATCTGCTGGTCCAACGCCTCAGCGTGGGCGTACACAAATCGCACCTCCAGCGCGGCATGTTGTGCGGAACAACTTGTGTGGTCGGTGAGGATGTCGTTCACCTCTCGGTCCCTGCCAACAAGCGTCACCGCTCGGCGTGAGACCGCAGCGTGTGACACCAAAAGCTGGCCCTCCTTCAGCACGCATATGTTGTACGCCGGCAAATACGGCCGGAATACACCGTCCGCAACATCGGCGGCTGCGCAACGACACTCACGCACCTCGTCAAATGATGCTTGGTGCCAATTCAAGACGTCGCGAAGCAAGGCACCATGGCGTGTGCCATCCGCGTGCCGTTTCCGTAGTTCCTCGTAAACGCACGCCACTCCAAGAAAGCGAAAAATGCTGCAGTCGACACCATCCCCCTCTAAAATGCCATGGAGCACACGCTGCGGCACCGTCAGCAACGATGGAAACCACTTGCCCGGGCGAGCCGAAGCAAAACGCGACCCCGCCACGGGAAGGCCCTGTCGTGCGTCCTCCAACGCCCCTGTCCGCCCGTAAAAAGGTTTTTCCATCTCGCCCCGCGCCACGTACCCTTCGCCGTTTAAAAAACAGAGAGCCGCCGCGGCGGGCACAGAGACGACAGGGAAGAAAACACAAAAAGAAAAGGCAATTTAAGTTTCAAAAAAAAAAAAAACCGGCAACAAAAACACAGCAGCCAACGGCATTCACCAACACCAACAAAACACGACGAACTACAGTGTGCAAATTACAGCGCGGAGGGCGGCTGTTTAAGCCACTTCCAGCCTCCCAACGGTTCATATTTCTCTTTTCTTTTCTTTTCTTTTTTTTTTTGTTTTTTTGTTTCTCATCTCTAGTTAGCCCTCATCTTCTGCCGAACGAAACAGTAAAAAGAAGAGTGCAAAAAACCTGCCGGAGATTAAATTTGTGCCGAATCCTCCGGCGCAGTCAAACACCCCCCTCCAGTGCGTCCTAAACAGCAATGCTGAGCTCTAAAATTCCCCACGCATCTCACTGGAAGACACGTCGCGGACACCACTCCAGTGAATGGCAAAAATTTTTCATCCCGCGTTCTTCGACGCCTTTTCGTGCGCTTTCCGTTTGTTTGTTAGTTAGTTTGCCCCTGCATGCTCCCCATTCACACACACACACACACACACACACCAGAACAAAAGACATGCGTGCGGGGCGAGACGCTGCGTGAGAAAATCTACGGCCTTGCCAGGCGGTAGACGCCGTAGATGTCCATCGCCCACTTCAACCAGACAAAAGCCACCACCTCCAGGAGGACAATGGCAGTCCACATGCCCCACGGGGAGCTCCTGCAGCTGGCTGTGCTCGGCCTACCGGCGAGGATCGCCTCCACCGTAAGCGCCTCTTCAGTGAGGCTGGCGCCATTGCCGCTCACGCGCCCGTTCGCTTTAGCGGGTGATTTTGCCCGTCTCTGCCCTCGTGAAGCACTTCTTGACGCCCGGGAGGCAGTGCGTGTCGGCATCCCCTTGCAGTCTTTTGTTTTCGCCTTGCTTCGCTTATTTTGCAAATATTGGCTCCAGCAAATGTGTGGAGACATCGTTAAATCGAGAGAAAAGGAGCGGAGGAAAAGTCAAACAAATAAAAAAAAAACTTCCAAACAACGTAATTGTCACGTGCATTCTTTTTTTTTTTTTTTCCTCTTCTTTCTTCCTTTCCTGTTCCACATTTACTTGTGCGTGCGTCGTCTTTTTTGCTCCCCGCCTAACCCCAACCCTAACATACTCACACTCACCACCTGCCGTAAGCACGACTAATTGCTCGCATGTATACAACGAAGTCTACCATCCGTTTTCTTTCAAAAATTTCTCTGAGTTCAAAAAAAAAGCCCAACTTTTATCCTAATCCGTCCTTTTACAAAAAGTGGCCTCCAAAAAATAAAATTAAATAAATAAATAAATAAATAATTCACGGAACAAAAACAGAAACAAACAAATTAAAGTTTTTTTATAATAAAAAAAACGCTGATCGTGTTGCAAACACACGCACACTTTTAATCAAGTTCATCACTATGATGCGCATCCGCGTGGGAGGTTGCACCAGCAGAAGCACCAGCAGAAGCACCAGCACCAAAGGGAGAAGATCCCGGGGAACTGCCACCCATTGCCTTGGACATCATCTTCTGAATCAGAGGGCCTACCTTGGGGTCACCCATCATCTGCAGAGCAGCCATGGGATTGCTCCGAAGGGTAGCAAGCTTTGCTGCCACCTCCGGATCTTTCATTGCCTCCGCGAGCTCCTGGTCCTGAAACAGGCTCTCCATAAAGGACTGCATGCCACCACCACCAGCACCGCCAGGGAATCCACCAGCACCGCCAGGGAATCCACCAGCACCGCCAGGGAATCCACCAGCACCGCCAGGGAATCCACCAGCACCGCCAGGGAATCCACCAGCATCGCCAGGGAATCCGCCAGCACCGCCAGGGAATCCACCAGCACCGCCAGGGAATCCACCAGCACCGCCAGGGAATCCACCAGCACCGCCAGGGAATCCACCAGCACCGCCAGGGAATCCACCAGCACCGCCAGGGAATCCACCAGCACCGCCAGGGAATCCACCAGCACCGCCAGGGAAGTCACCAGCACCAGACTGCTGCTGATCCCGCTGCTGTTGCTGTTCCCTCTTCATCTCTTCTTCACGTAGTTCTTGTTCACGTTGGCGACGAAGGGCCTCCTGCCGCAGCCTTTGGGCTTCCTTTTTACGTTGCTGGAACTGGCGACGGTCGTTCGTCCTTTTCTGCACAAACCTCAGTATCTCATCGATTCCCTCGTCGTAATCAACGGCTTGTGCCTCACTCAGGTCCTTCAGTGCCTCTTCCCATTTGCCCAGGCGACGATTGACGGTGCCACGAACACGCAGTGCCCGCACATTCTCGGGGTTGAGGTCCAGAGCTCGATTGGCATCCTGCAAAGCTGCGCCCGGTTGTGTACATTTCAGAAAGTAGCTCGCACGCTGGGCCCAGTACATCGCCTTACCAGGCACAATTCGTAATGCTTGTCCCATTAAGTCGATGGCCTTATCGAAATCCCCATCGGCCGCCAACTCTGCCGCCTGCGCCTTGAGCCCCATTGCCCTCTCCTCATCCTCTGGTGTGGGATCGGTGCCATCATAGGCTGCGATGTCATCATCGGACACAGGCTCCAATACACAGCGCTGCGAATCGGGCTCGCTCACGTACTCCTCCTCGTCGTCCGAGTTCGCCTCCTTCCTTACCCCGCTAACGTCCGGTGTGTCCGGAGGTGGGGGAATAGAGGCACCAAGCGACGCCATGTATTCCCGTAACTCCCGAAATTCATTGCGATGAAGATCCTCGGGATGGCAGCGCAGGTGCTCCACCACACGATTTACCGCCTCCAACTCTACTCCACTGAGTACGCGCATTATGCCGTTTGGTGTCCTTCTTTCTTCTATCTATTGCTGCTGGTAATGAAGTTTCTCTTCGATCGCTTCGTCAGTCGATATTCTTCTCTTTGCTGTTTGGTTGCTAAAAGCCACACACTTTCGTGAGGAAAAGAAAAAAGAAAAAAAAAAGAAAAAAAAAAAGAGCACGCACTGACATCCATCCTTCCGTAGCTCTTCACATACTTGTGTGTGTGTGTGTGTGTAAAAAAAGAAAAACACTAGAAAAAAAAAGAAAATATGTCATATGGCAGCAGTAGTGGACGAGGGTTCAACCGTACGGAAATGCGACAGAAGTTCTCGTCGTCGCTCATCGTACTCGTCCGGCGGGACATTGACGAGTCCAAAGATACCGTGGACAGGCCTTGTCTTTTTCGACTTTTTAGATATGGCCTCGGCGTTGACGCCATACAGCGCCTTCATCGTGTCCTCTTGCTGCGATGCACTCCCCTCCTTAGCCGCGTTCTCTTGTTCCCTTACCATTCTGTAGGCTTTGGTGTCATGTTTCCGTGGCTGCTTCCCGTAGCGTGTCTGTTTGTAATATTGACGCAGCACCTCATTCAGATTTTCCAACGCAAACGCCTTTTCCTGATACTTTTGCGTAATAAACGTCTTCAGTGTCAATTCCGACTCGGTCCCTGTCAATGGTTTCATACCTCTCGGCAAACGCGCCTCATAGAGCGACTTGCCCCTCTGATTACCGATAGCCTCCATCAGTCCAACCTCCGTCGCCCGCCATTTGTCCATGTTCGTTGACTTGATCTTTGAAACGTGCACCCCGAGTGAGCGGTGAATACCGGAGCAACGGATGCACAAAAACACACCGTGGTTCACCGACGCCCAGCGCGTACCATTGTTGTTGCAGTCATTGCAGATGTTGTTTGGGGGAATCTGGCAAATGCGCTCAAGACGCTCCCTGTTGGCATCCCAGTCCTCCTCCTCCTCTGCCGCCTCGCCTAATGAAGGAGGAACCTTCTCTTTGTGGTCCTTGCGATGGCGTTTTCTGTGATGTCTCTCCTTCTTTTCTCGACGGCCGTGGTCCTTCTCCTCCGGCATCTTTTGCCGGGCGTAAAATGGCGCGAGCTCCAAGTGCACGCCCACAATCCGATAAAGAGAAAACGCAGTCAAGAGAGAAAAAAGAAATGCCGAGAACACTACAAGACAACAAGACAAGCAAGAAACAAAATGAAACCACAAAACATGCATCACATGAAATCCACATCGCCCACTCTACACGGTGTTTCATGCATAACTATTCAACCATACATTTGTGTGTATGCGGCCGACTCTCATTCGATTACGTCAATCACATAGCCATAAGCAAATCTAAACAATCTCTTCATGTCCCTCCCCCCTTTCTTTTCTCATCCATCTCCTCTCACATGCAAATTTCCCTCCTCTTTCTCCCAAGTCAATCTTCCCCGTTTCCTGTTATTTCCTTCTCCTTTTTTCTCTCTTCTACTCCAAGTCTTCTGATTGTTTCTCACCATTATCACAAGGCAAAGAGGTATTGGAAGAAAATAAAAGGAAAAATGGCACCCATGTCTCAAAATTCATAGTTTTTTTCCCCCGATTTCGCGTCTCTACGGGTCGCCCTTTGTTCTTATTGCCGCTGTTTGATTTGCCTTATACCTCACTGAATGTGAAGAAACACAGTGTCCCCGGAGTGCACATCGTCCCATGTCCCCAACTGCACCCCCCGACTTTTAACATTTACCTCCCTGGGTGGGTACCCTGTCTTGAGCGAGCACTTGGGAACACCCTGTGGATATGCCTCTGGCTGATCCTGATAGGCGCGGTAGGCCAAGTACTCCAATAACAGGTACGCCGGGGTCTCAGGTTTAAGCCGCAATGTCATCTGTCCTTTCGGCAGCCGGCAGCGCAGAGAGAAGGCGTGCTTCTCACCCTCATCCACCTGATATTGGCTGATGTCAATCACTTCTATCGGTGGTTCTGTAGCCGCATTCGCGGGCTGCGATGCCACAATTTCAGGCGTGTCATCAGCGTCATCCTCAACCACAATTGGTGAGCCAAAGCATTTAAAGGGAACCGCACCCGTACCGCGGGTTGCGAGTTTCCTTTCCTCCCATTGTGAAGGTGACCCACGTTCTCCAAGAAAGGAAAGTAACGCCTCGTTGACCTCACTGACATCGATTGCTATACCCTTCATGTTTAATGGCACCCGTGACTCCTTCATCGTGGTGAGGGGGTTTATGATAAGCAGGGTTGGGAGGTCTCTCAACACATCAATGCGGTATCCGTGGGCCAGTTGCTCGCCACGCTCTGAAGATGCGTTGATCTGGTAGATTGAAAACATTTCAAGTGTCCCACTTGCTCCCTCGTAGCGCCAAACATCTCTGTTGACGCAAACGCTTGAAAAGCTGTCCCCAATCAAGCTTAATAAAACCCACCGATCACATTCCAGCGCACGCTCACAGAAGTGTGAAAAGGATGTGCCTCCCTGATGCACAAACGGAGGGGCCACAAAAAACGGCAACGTTGAGTCTGGATCAGCATCCGCATCAAACGGCGGTGGAAACCGCATATTGGAAGGACGCAAGGGCCCCTGTCGTCCCAGCGACGCGGTTGAATAAGGCTCCTGTCTGGCTCCAACGCCACCGTCGAGTCTGCTGATCAAATACGGCGGTGTTGTGTACCCCGGCGAGCCCGCGGCTGACGTCCCGGACGGCGAAGACGCGCCCTGCCGCGCCGGTGGTGGTGGTGGTGGTGGTGGTGCCGGCGGGCGAGCGGGCGGGTGTTCGTGCTCCGCCACGTACAGCGAGTGTGCGGTCGCGAGATCAAAGTTGGCGCAGGCAAGATAGCCGACCGCCTCCTCCTCGCTGCAACTCGTCATGGCCATGAGGGTGGCCACCACGTCACCGTCACTCATCGCTCTCTTCCTCTCACTTTCCCCCTTCTGCAGAGGTCGTTTTGTGCTTCGCTCGTCGCCGGGGATTCCTCCTACACAACTCTTGCGTGGATGGGTTTATGTGCGCCTGTGACGTCAGTGGAAGGTGAGGGCGGCAGCTCCCCGGCTTTGTTTGTCTCCTCCTCCTCCCTGTTTCCTCCTCCGCCTGAGGTGTCCGATGAAACTTTTTTTCTTTTCTTTTTCTGCACTCGCCTCTAATTCTTCCCTCCCGTGCGTGGATGAACGCCATGCGTTTTGCACCCATGCCCCCCGACCAAAAAAAAAATAAAAATAAAAAAATAAATAAAAAATAAAGGCAAAACCCAAAAAAAAAAAAAAAAAAGACAAACACATCTTCACTCGGCTTTTAATTTAACTCCAAGACCCTCAAACGAACCTGCCGCAGAAAAGATGACACGCATAAACGCCCACACCGCAACTCATTCACCGCCGTTGCATACATCTCTTGCACCAACATGGAGAAGGCATTATTCAGTTATCACCCCCTCGGCTTTCACACCCGCATTGCGGCTCCTGAAACAACAAAAAAAAAAAAAAAAAACCGACCTGTCATACAAAAAAAGAAAAAAAAAGGAATAAAATCATTTACATTTATCATAACATCCCTCTTTAAACAACAACAACAACAACAACAACAACAACAAAGACACGAGGCCAAACAGTAAAAGCAAAGGCAACAGTCAAAAAAAAAAAAAAAAAAAACACGCTACATCTCTACATTCCCAACACCGTCCACCTTTTCATCACGAAGGTCATCCAACTCAGCAGACTCTGTTTCGACAGTTTGTGCATCTGGCCCTGTCTCAACTGATACAACGGCCGCTGCATCTAATTCTCCCAGTTCGCGGTATTGATCCACAGGCTGCTCAGCGGCCGGTGCGACACCCTCTGTGCAGGCCATGGCGTCAGTGGTTGTATCCACAGTGTGCGATGTCTCGGTGTTCGAAATATGTTCTCCATTTTTTTCATCCGGTGGTGCTGCCGACGGACATTTATTTTCTTCGAGCAGTCCCATGATTCTCTCCCTCCCTCTCGCCTCCTCCTCAGTAATGCTGGCAGCCATAGGGCTTGCCAGCTGCACGAAAAGGATGTCCATAAGAGTGCTGTATTCTGCCTTGTAAATATCTCGTCGTGCTTTGCATTCCGTCGCCTCAACCACTTCTTTGCAGAACTCCACTTGAATCAAAATACGAAGCTCGCGCTCAGCCTTCACTAACATGCGAAGAAGAAAATAGACGCGCTCGTTCCATAATGCATCCCGGAGTGCACTCTCGTCCTCGACAAGCTGCAGTTGCTCTACGCCGGCATAGAAGTAAAAGGTTTCCATCTCCTCACGCTCGGCAGCCTCTTCCCTCGCTGCCGCATTCTCAAATGCGCTGTGCCGCATCCTCCACAGGAGCAGCATGCGGTCTCGCCACTCGTCTTCAAAAATCCCAACTTCCAAGGAGATGTCAAAACACATGTGTTCCAGAAAAAAGGGCACATCATTTATCAAATAACCCCGAAGCAGCGCACACCCCTCCATGGGCTTCAACACATCACACACCCGCCCTTCCATCTCAAGCAGCTCCAGCTCGGCGCGACGCCGTGCTTCTTCCCGCAGAAGCTGCTGCATGCACTCATTTACAAAAAACAACTGCCGCTTCCGCGCCGAATAACGGCACCAAAACCGTTGCAACTTGCATGCCATTATTTCAAGCCGAAAATCACTTTTCTTGGGTTCAAATACCTTCTCAAACGCCGTTTGCCATTCACGCACAATAGAAACACGCTCGTGCGACTCCATTTGCCGCAAGACAGTCGTAGGGTCCGCCCATGAGGTGGATTCAATGTAGGAGCAGTTACTCAAAAAGATGTCAAACATCATCCTTTCCATTTTCTCCAATTCGGCGCGTCCCCATGGCTCTGTTTTATATTCCAGCACCTGCATCTTGAATTCAATGGCCCTCTGCTTCTCCAAGTAGGCTAGTCGTATTTCCTCCTCGAGAATATCTCTGTAGCGCTGAATATCTCTTCGCTGAGATTTATGTATCCGAGCCAGTTCAAGCTTCTCGCGTTTCTCTACCAAAGCCTCTCGGAGAAAACGTCGCATGCCCGTTCGTCCCACCTCACCATTTTTGTAGCGGCGGTAAAAACTCTTTATGGCATTGGCAGCTCCCGTTTTCTCCTGAAGCCTTCGCAGTTGCTCGCCCGTCTCACGACGTATTTCATTTACAATCCCCAGCACCACTTCTCTCTCCGTCTGCAGGACCCTGTGGCGAGCCACTTCTTCACTCCCAACAAGAAGATCCACGGAGCTATTATAAATCGTATGACGGTAATCTCGCTGTAGGGCGGCGGCATACTCTCTGTGACAGTGGAGCGATGCCTCCTCAAGCAGGGGAAGACAACCTGCAAGATATGCCTCAAAAAGCCCGTTCCGTATCGATGGATCGGTGGCTTCTATTTCAATCGCCCCCTCTTTACATAGACACATAAGCCGAAAAATATTCTCCACGTGTCCTTGCTGACTTTCGTACTTCGACTCCAGGAGGGATATGGCCAGTAGCTGGCGTTCCTCCTCACGCTCCTCCTCCCGCTCCAAAGCTGCAATGCGCAGGATTTCACGCTCATCCAGTTCCAAGTCAAATATATTGCGGAACGACTCCGCCTCGTCCAATGCGACGAAGACCCGCTCGGCCTCCTCCCGCTCCTGTATCATCGTCTTTCCCTTTATTGCGCACAAACTCCGATAGAAAAAGGAGCAAAAGCGGTTCCTTTCAAACTCCTCGCCGACGTCCACCTCTCGGCGCTGGTCCATCTCCTCTTGAATACACCGACTTTTCCTCGGCAAAATAATTTTATCAACGATGTGTTGTCGATTCTCTCGGAGCAGCGCAGCTATCTCCCACTCTTCCTGGGAATTAATGACAACTCGATGCATAAACTCCTTCTCCAAAATATCCGCCCTCTCTGCACCGTGTATCGCAAAAATCTCATCCTCAATAGCCCTGCAGTCCGCCAATAGAGATGCCTTGAAGGAACGCAGCGATTCCATGCCACGCTGAATCTTCCTTGCATCGCGACCTGCCTGGATGATCCGTCCAATCTCGCGGTGGGTGATGCGCCAGCCAAACCGCCCCTCCTTCCAGCGACGGAAGGTTCGTTGAATTTTGACAATCTGACTGCCGTGTGCTCCTTGCTGCTGATAAAGAAATTGCAGCAGGGAAATCTGAGCGGGCACAATCATACTCACCGTTTCCTCGCACTCCTTCGTAAAAGAGATGCGAAGCGCCAGCTCCAAATCCTGCACCCACAGTTGACGGGCCACGGCCTCATCCTCCTCAATGGATGTGCGACTCTCTTCGTGTTCGGCAAGAAGAGCGCCCACATTTGCCCTCATGGACTCCTCCTCACACGCCTTCCGCATCAACTCGCGACAAGTAGACTCCTCAATGCGGATCCTCTCACGTTCTTCCTTCTCGTTTCCCACGCATGCGTCACGCTCAGAAGAGAACTGTGGCATCCGCTTCATCGCATGTTTCTCCAACGCCGTCTGTATCTTCTGGCGCCGTTCCTCCCCTTGACCCCTCCAATACAGCAGACGCTTGAGGTGCATGCGTTTGTACTTCCAGGTTCGAAGGAGAAGGATCTGCTCCTCAAACAAGCTCAGGATACTCTCAAATTCTTTTCGTTCGCACTCTTCAATGATGCTGCGCGCCTCGACATCTTTTTCCAAGATAGCAACGTAGTCCGCGATGCCCAAGGCATTCCGCAGAGCGCTGCGCACCAACGTACGAGACGCGGGAACAGTTTGCGGCGCCAGAGGAGGCAACACCCCACGCCGTTGTTCTCGCTGTTGACATGGTCGCGTTTGCTGCTCAGGGGATGGAGTGCGGGCCAGGGCGCTATCAATGCCGTGCTTCAGCCGCACATAACGCTGAAGAATAAGACGCGCATCCGGCTCCTTCTGTGGCTCTTGATAGACGAGGGACGTGTGAGCTGACTTGCTGAGGGGGTACAACACATCCGCCTCTTCTAGTCGCCGCTGCTTTTCCTTCTTGGCACGCAGGGCGGCTTTACAACGCTCGACCCCCTTACTTGTCTCCGACTCATTCTGCAACCAGTAACGCTCCTTCTCTTCCTCGTAGCGAATGTTCGACCGCTCCTCACACTCGCGGTACTGCAATTCATCCAACTCCTCTCGCAGTACAAATGTGACGTAACTCACAACCATCATCTGGTGCAACACTCGCCGCTCCCAGAGCTCCGTGTCCATCAAGTACTGTCGCTCCTCCGCCTCCAGCACGCACAGCGGCGTTTGGAGCACCTCCACATGAGCCGCGCGGGCCGTGAGGTGACCGTTCTCTGTTGTGAAGCGGAGCCCCTCTGAAAAGCGCGAGGCGTTAACGCCATCCGCCAAAGTCGTTGCCCCAACTGGCAGCCACGGATGCATAATGCGTGGAAGTTGATCCACCGGGTTGTACGCCGCACGCTGCAAAAATTTTTTGCGCACGCCCTGAAGCATCTTGAGGTATCCGTCGTGGCCAATGGCACTGCCGCACACGCGGTGCACCGTGCGCCACCGATCCCGCTCGCGGAAGTCCTCTTCAGCGGAATCTAAAACGCTGCGGCTCTTTTTATGAATCTCCGGAAGAGAATGCCTCATACGATTGAAAGAACAAAGGCTAAAAAGACTAAAAAGAGAAAGGTGTGTTACCTCCAACTTTTATCACCAAAGGGGTTAAAAAATATGTATTTATACACGCCTCCTTTGCTTCTTAACTCGCTGAGACAAACAAATCAAGCACTCACGGTCACACAAAAACCAAAAAAAAAAAAAAACTGCAATCGCAGGAAGCAGGCAGAAGAACGGGAGACGTTGTTGCGCATGTGGCGATACAATAAACATCTGTCTGAAAGCATACAGTAATTATTATTATTATTTTTTTTTTTTTTTTTTTTGGAGGGGAATGGCATAAGTTGCACGCCACAAGGGAAAGAAAAGTAAATGCACAAATGTATTTATGCTCCTACCATTTTGGTGACGACGGCCAACGCTGATCCCGTGGCTCTTTGATCTCCGATCGTGCGCTGGGCGGCTGCAAACGGCCGTGCCAATCCGGGGTTTCCTGCATCGTCGCACGGCGAAAGTGTCGTGCCGCCTCCTCGAGAGAAATTCCCATGGCAGCCGCCTTCTTTGGGAGCACGTGCTGTTCAAACCAGTCCCATTCGGCCGCGGCGTGCTGCAGGTACCGCGGCTCGCCAAATTCCTCCCACCAATTCATTGTCTCCACCCATCGCACACGATTTCGATGCAGTTCACTCTCCTTGTGTGCCTCGTAGTCCTGCTTGTAGCGGAACCGCACGTGACAGAGCGCACAGCTCGGCTGCTCGCCAAAAAGCCAGACGTCCTTCCCGTTGTGAGGAATACGTTTACTGCGCCGATCGATCCACTTGGATTTTTTGCGAATACGAATGAGACGACCGCTGGCCGATGCGGTACTGCTGTTGATCGTCGTCACCTCCGCAAGGAGCTGGCGGGTGAAGAACAGCATGACGGCCCCACCCACCCCCCAAACTACTCACCTCTCTGCCCTTCCTTTCCCTAACCCTTCCCAACGGCACAAAATAAACCAAAAGGAAAAGAAACACACATCCATGAGCCCCACGGTCGCAAAAAGAAAAAAAGAGCACATCGCTCGTATGCAGTATATTTTTCTTTTTTTTTTTTTTTTTTTTTTTTATTCATGCATCGCGGTTGTGGTAGCAAAGAAATCTCTCGGCGTGTAACTGTAAATATATATATAACGCGGCTGAACAGATTTAGTCACTTTACTTCTATGCCCTGCAGACCCACGACAGGCCGACGCTAATTGTGCCCTGTGGGTGCAGAGCCTCCGTTGTGCGCACCACCGCCTGCGGTGACTCCAATAGCGCCCGCAACGGCACCTCCGCCACTCCCAGGTTCGCTTGCACATCTTTCGCTTGCTCGTCAAAAAGAATAAAAACGACGGCGCCCCCCGCAATGAACTCAACAAGCTCTCGATCGACGACCAATCGATGATCGACGGGGTCTGCGTCAAAGACCGGGTCAGTCGTGAAAGGCTTCGAGGAAGGACGCACCACCGTGTCTCGCACGCAGCTTAGTCCAACTGGCGCAGATGTGGTGTAGAACACATATGGTTGAGGCACTGGCGTGCCCAGTAAGCCATTTGCACGAAACACCTGCACCCTTAGGGCCACCACACTTCGCAGCGACAACAAAGCTGCCCGCAATGCATCCGCTGTAAAGAGGGTGCTGCCTAGTGGCCGGTCAAGCAGGACAGGTAACATGAGGTGGGATGCACACATCTCAACTGTGATGGCGCCTGCCGGCTCCCCGTCCCCATTCAACATCTGAACCCTCTCCGAGACTGTCAGTTCGCGACACGACAATAGCGCCACCCCAGGGACTTCTGCCATAGCGACAATTGTGTTCGTTGTCCCCTTCACCTGGTGAAGCTGAAAGACAAATGTCGTGTTTCTAATCGCATCCACCGTAACCTCATCTCTATCGAGGTGATCGTAGTGGAACCGAATATCAAGCGGCTCGTACAGGGAGTAAAAGGTTGGTGACAGCATGGTATCGTATGACTGCAACCCATCCAGAGTAAAAAAGAAGCTAACCGCAGCCCCAGCCGCCTCCCCAATACCGAGGGAACGGAGAAGAACTTCATCACACTCCACATCTTGTATGTGAAAAGAAATGAGACCAGATCTTGCATGCGCGGAATCGACTCCGCGTGCCTTCGATGCAGAATATGCCTCAAGCTGTTGCTTTGCGAAAACGGTCTGAACATGTGAGAGCCGACGGCGCATTTCTATATTCTCATCCAAGAGAGCATCTCGTTCCTGTGAGATCTGCTGCAGAAGAGAGCGGCTCTGCTCAATCTGAGTACTCATCTGCGAGCAGCGCGTGTTCGCAAGTTCCATGTCGAGTGCCGCACTCGCCAACGCCTCGCGTAGTTGATCGGCTTCCCAGTTCTCGTCCCATTTTAACGCATCCCACATGTCGAGCACCTCTTCCGCCTCACCGGCTTCACCCAAACGCCTCGATGACGTCCTTCGCATCGCTGCCACCGTAAGTGCGCGCTGCACGTGTTCATCCCCCAAATCCTCAACGGCGCGACCAGCCAGCGCGGCCCGAGTTGTTAATTCCGATCTTTCCATCTCCGCCTTCTGTAACTGTTCGCGGTACATGGCAGCATCCCCGCGGGCCAACTCCAACTGTCGTCTCAACTCGGCAAGCTGATGCTGCGCATCGAGCAGCTGCGACTCCTTCTCACGTCGCCGCAGCTCGGCATTGTCCCGCATTTCCTGCAGATCAGCAATACGAGAAGAAAGTTCCCGCCGCACTGCCTCCTCCGTCTCCTGGTTGCAGCTCTGAAGCGTTCCCGTTGTTCGAAGCAGCTCTTGCTCCATGTGGATCAGTTCCTCGCTCTTGCGCCGAAGCGTCACCTCCAGCTCCTCCAGCCTCGCACAGCGAACCTGCAATAAACTCTTATCGTGTTCAGCCTCAAACAACTGTTTTTTGGTTTCCGAATGAATGGATTGAAACCGCTTAAGTTCCTCTACAAGACGAGAACATTCCGATTTTAACGTTTCTGCCTGCTGCTGGGCCCATTGCATCCGACTAGTCAGCACCGTAATCTGCTTCGACTTGTCATGCGCCTCATTCTGCAACTGTATGAGCACCGTGGGGTCCACGGAAGAGAGCTCCTTGAACCGCTCAGAGTTCTCCTGCTCTGAAAGACGAAGCTTCAGCGCCAAGGCATCCTTTTCTCGTGTAAGAGCATCAATAATCTTCCGGTACTCCGATTCCGAATGATGCCGCGCGCTTTCAGCCGTCGCAGCCCTCTCGTTGAGGACGTCAAATGAGTGCTTCTCAAAGGAACGCTGTTGCCGCTGCAGAAGATGCGCGCTTTCAAACTCCGCGCGGGTGCGGGCTAACTGCTCGCGAAGGGCATCGCACTCCGCACTCACCTGGTCCCGTTCAGCCGTTACGCGCGCAATATCCTGGCGTAGCTGATCCAAAACAAGACGGACAGCGGGTGGCAATGCTGATGGTAATACCGGTGTGACGGTGCCGGTAGTATTTTCCGCTACTGCCGTGGTTTGTGGTGCACCCGCACGCAACGACGCAATTTCTAATTGGGCCTGCTGCAATGCTTCGCGGCAGCGTTGAAGTTCCTTCGACTCCATTTCAGCGTGCGTGGGTCCGGTCTTTATGGCATCTAAGTGAGGCAGCGACGTTGCAAACCCCCGTCTCGTGAATTTTTTGGCCCCCGGCAAGCGGAGCGAGTGTGCGCGGATGTCTCCCGAGGAAGCAGGGCGGACTGTTGGCAGCGTGGTGGCGGTGATGTCGTCCAGCTGCTGCAGCATCTCCGGTGAGACACGCTTCAAATCCTTCGTCAGTTTGTAGAACTTCACCTGGACAACTTTAAGCTTCTCCCGCAGCTCCTGCAACTCGTGTTTCAGCTGACGGTTCTCCTGCAGTGCTCGCTGCAGCCGGTCCTCCCTGGCATCCGCCAGATGTGCATCACTCGTGCGAAGCATAAAAAGCGCGGATGCGCGTGTGGCCGCTTCCTTTGGCCTTATTCCCTGCGCCCTCCACTGTTGCCTACTCTCACGTACCCCTCGTCCGCAGTTTCTTCCTGCCTGTCCCCTCGCCATTCCCGCAGACACACACACAGGAGCAGCAGCAGCAGGCAGCAGGCGGTAACATGCGTTGAGGATCCAGAAATAGCAACAAGCCAAAAATAAAATAAAAATGAAGCACATGTGAGCATATGGAAACAGTTGTCCCCTTCGCCACCTCCTCCGCCTCATATTGACTGTTATAAAACACAGACAAACAAACAAGAAGTGTGCAAAACAGAAAGTGAAAAAAAAAAACACGCAACTCACATTTGTTGTCCTCGGGCAAACGGATCGATGCCAGACGCCCAAGAAACATTCTCCCGACGTCTGCGTGCCTTCTCCCGCTCGTGTTCTGCCTGTTCCTTCGCAATGCGCTCGGCGTGCTTGCGTGCTTCTTCAAGGAAGAGTTTGGCATTTTCACGTTCCTCGGGTGTGCCATGTTGTCGTCCACTGCCGTCCTCCATCATCGCGTAGGCAACGGAAATAGGCCGATCCCTATAGACTTTCTGGTCCATCTCATCAATGACCTTATCGCTAAATGCAAAGTCTTCGTAGGAGAGAATAACAACACCGCGAAAGTTCCCCTCAACGTCACGCACCTTGCGTGGCGGAACGGCAAACTTTCCAAATTGCCCAAAGAAAGATGTGAGATCGTATTCCGTGACGTTGAGGTCCACACCACGCACCACAACCTTCGCCCCAATCTCGTGCAGCTCATGCACGGCGTGGCGATTGTGTACTTGACTGCCGCTTTCCTTTATTGAGATATCCGTGCTGGCGTGGGACACACGCAACTCCTTTCCAAACAACCTGGCACGGCTGCGGTAGAGTGCCTCGTAGCAGTACTTTGCGTCCTCCGCGTTAATAAAATCCACAAAGCAGAACGTCTTGTGCTGTGCACTGCCGGTAAGATTGCCGATTGAGGGCCACGTGATGTTTGCGATGGGACCGAACTGCGTGCAGAGCTCATGAATGATGTCCTCGTCGCACTGCTCGGACAAATCACTGAAAAAGACACGGCGGAGATCCTCCCGCTTAAAAGTAGCCATCACGACCGACCGCCACACCGTCTACTGCGGAAGCCACACAATGCCACCTCTCCCCCCGCCAACCACCAGCCACGAAAGAGTTTTACAAAAAAAGAGATGGGCACAAAGAAGCAGCAACAACGGAAAAAAGATCACATGATCTCACACACGCAAAGAGAAAAAAAAAAAAATGAAAAAAAAAAAAAAAAAAGCGAGGAACACAAATCGTCATCCAAAATAAACTCCCTGAGAGAAAGACGGAAGATGAAAAAGCAACGCCACAGTACCGCACAGGACTCAGAGAGGCCCCCCCCCATTAGGAGAAACCGTATATATATATATATATATACCCAAAAGGGATGCTCCGTGACGAAAACAAAGTAATAAAAACAAGTGCGCGTTGCTCCTGACCCCGCCCCACCTCAGAGTGAATCCAGTGTGTTCAATGCGAGATTCAAGTCACTTGGCTCGTAGCGAGCGAGCGAGGGCACAAGAACAAGCGCCTCCTCCACGGACTTTGGGCACAGCGTGCCTAATGAAACCACTTCAAAAGGCTTCATGCGCGCAGTCTTTAATGTGCCGTGGATCTCCCCATCCTCCGCGGCCTCCCGCATCCCCGTCACATTCCCGTTGCTGTCGAGGATAAAATTCGCCAGATGTGCGTTCGCAAAGCCCGTCTCGCTTTCGCCACGCAGACGCAACTTCATCTTCATGAGATGCTGAACACTTTGCTCGTCTGCACATGTCTCCTGCATCATCTCAACCTGCTCCCGTATCCTCTCAATGAGGACCATTGCAGGAGATTCCAAACCCGAGTCTTCGTCTGTATTTTGCCGCCCACGCAACAGCTGCACCACGACGGGCAAAGTGAGCGGCTCCGCCTGACTGAAGACAGGGCCGAGGTCTCCCTCCACGTAGTTCTCGCCGCTCATCGCCCACCCGCACTCACACGCACAGAAAAAAAGACTCTATTTGGAAATTCTTGGAATAAAAGAGACAGTCGTAAATAAAATAAAAAACGACAAGAAGCCAAACAGTAAAGAGAGAAGGTGAGCCAATAAAGCAACAATAATATTAATTAATTAAAATACAACATTAAAAAGCCCAACATGTTTTTTTGTTTTTTTTTGTTTTTTTTTTTTTTTTTTGGTTCATCAAAGCAGAAATGCCGCAGCAGACACGCTGCGGGCACTTGGAAGAAACATATATCATTTCCTCTACAGTTCTATTGCAATTGCTTCTTATTCACCTGACCGCAAGGGGGTTCCTTTCGGCGACGAAGTTGCCTTACGAGAGCAGGAGGATGTTGTCGCGAGGAGATCACCAGCGCTCGGCCCTCGACAAACAAACCCCCTGCCACCTCATCTTGATGCGCCTTGTGTTCTTCTGGGCCTTCTGCTTGATGTTTGACGGGCCGACGTGGGTCCCATGCGCGTCTTGTGTGACTCCTTGGACGAGAGGAAGAGGTGGCTCTGGGTGATGCTTGGAGACCAACGGGTTGCGACAGCGCACTACAACTACTCGTGCGGGAGCTGCCTTGTCGCGCACCAGTCATGCCCAAGCTAGACAACGCGTTCAGTCGTCGTTCATTTTTCAAATGACTTACAGCCGCCAAGCCGGACGTGTGCGGCGGAGTAAATATGTGTTTTGTAAAATCATAAAAACACCGCTCAAAGACGGACTTCGTTTCTTTCCTTCGCACGCCGGGGGCAGGTTGCGGCGGACCGTTGGCGGGTCGAACGACGACAGGATCACGGAAGTACAGCCGTTGCAAATAACGCCGGGCATACGATGCTCTGTCACCTGATCCCACAACATCGTTAGATGACGCCGATCGAGTAGGACGCGGTGGAGGAGTAAAACTCTTTTTTATCGTTGCGGCGGTGTCACATGGGTCCGGTTGAGCCAATTCCGATGATGCGCATGGAATGACGGAGGACCACATCGTCCTGCTATTTAAGTCCTGTGCTTCTCTACTGGAAATATTCCCGTTCGGGGAAAAAGTGGCGGTGCGCTCCAAAATTGGTGGGCCAATGTCATCCTTCAAATCGCTCTTTACGAAAAGGTGTCGCGGCCCCATCATACTCTCCAGGGAGGACGCCCAAACGGCGGGGTCCCCATCACTGTCCTGCGGCTGTTCACTTTCAGTTGCTTGAGGTGTAAACTTCGAGCGTGACTCCATGGAAACTTGCGTCGTGGGCCAACAAATCACCGTGGCGGCTGCACCACCGACCAAAGGCCGGGGTCGCTCAGGTGGCGAACGGTGGGGCGTCGCGAACCTCACGCTTTTCGCCGCTGGCACCCCACGAGACATCCCTCTCGTGTCCCCCTCCTGCGAGAAGGGCACCGCCTCGTCGCCAAGAAGGCGGTTGAGAAACTGCAGCACGGGGAATCCATCGCTGCCGTCAGCGCAGCTGGACGTTATAAAACCCAGCATGGTGGCAGCCGGTGACTGCGGCAGCTGCAGCTCAGTCGCTGCGGTGAAAAGCGGCTCCGCTGGCACAACCGCCTTTTCCTTCAAGAGTGTGGGGATCGGCGGCGCGGGCTCGTTGCTTTCTGACAGAGCCGCCCTTTGCTCACGGATGGCGCCACGACTATCCACGGCGGTGTTTTCCCGCTCCTCCTCCTCCTTCATGAGGCGCAGCAAAAACCCTATCGTTGGAAAATCGCTGCAGCCGCTCTCCGCCCCATTGATGCCGCAGGAGATAATGAAGTCCAGCATCCGTGCGACTACTAAAGACGCTGCGCACGACCGTGGCCAGCGGCAGCAATAGTCATGACAAAAGAGAGAAAAAAAAAAGGCAAAAAAGACCAAAAAGACAGCTGTCAATGAGGGACCCAACAACAACAAATTTAAAAAAAGGAGCAAACACAACAACAACAGCAACAGCAACAGTGGCAAAAGGGACGACCAAAAACAGCGACACAAATATAATAGCAAGAATGATGATAAATACAGCACGCAAAAACAACGACAAAAGACACACACGCATGGCGGGGGGCCGGCGATGTGAACGACCCAAAAAAAATTCAAAGCAACACACACACACACAGAAAAAAAAAAAAAAAAAAACATATCACAAATGACGCACACATTCATATGTCTGTGTGCAATGCAGCAAATACCACACCTCCCACTGCCCCACGCCCCCTCCCTCTTCTCTCGATCCATCTCTCAGACCACCCGCCAGGCACTAGAGCCCAATAGCTCCCTCTCCCTCACTCTATGTATATATATGTATATATATATTCATTGACTTTATTTTCCCCCTCTCTTGTTTTCTGCTTGCGGAAATCCCCTTCTTCATGGAGTCCGCAGTAGTCTCTGCTCCTCTTTTCTTGTTTATTCCCCTCCCCGCCCTTTCTCTCTCTCCCTCCAACAGTCTCAAAGCATCAGCAAAACTCACCAGCAGCGACCACGACGCCCCGCCTTTCGCTCCACTCCATAAAAAAAAAAAAAAAAAAAAAAAAAAAGTAAAAAAAAAAAAAAAAACGGCGACAAAACCACTTCTCTAATTCATTCATTCACTTTTTCATGCATTTCTCTCCACCCATTCTCCCTTCGTTAACTTATTTTACGTTTGTTTGCTTATGCCGTCCATCATTTCCCTATCCCTCCGCAACTTATTTTATTCATAAAAGCGCAAGTACTCTATCTCTCCATACCTCTCTCTCTCTCTCCCTCTCCCTCTCTTCCACTCCCGCCTTCGGCTTGCATCCACATGCACGTGTTTCTCAGCCCCCCGCCCCCTCACCTCACCGTCACACAAAACAGTCCGTTTTAATTATACATGCTCCCCCGCTTCATGATTCTTCTTACTTCACTGTATCCCTCCCTTTCCCTCTTTTATCTGCTGCGTCCACAGGCACCCCCATTACAAACATGGCCCCCCCACCTCCCACACAGTTGTGTACTCAGATACATTGCAACTCTCTCACTTATTATTTCTCTCCCCCCGCCTCTCAGCCATCACCAAAGTCACCGGTACAAAAAAAAAAAAAAAAACAGATAAAAATCGCGTACTTCTGTGTGTGCATGTGTGTGCATATACAAAAATATGCCCACATATCAAGCTCCCTCGTGCAAAACATTAGAAAGAGTACAGAAATTTAAAAAAAAAAAAAAATTTGTTTTTTTTTTTTCCCCTCTCCGCCATATAAATAAATATAAATATAAATGTGCATTCAAGAAGGCGTTGGCATCACCGCCCCGCCCCACCACCACCACTCCGAAAACAAATGCAGACAGAAGCACGCAAAAACAAAACAAAACAAAAAGAAAAAAAAAAAAAAAGAAAAAATCACAACACGAGGATCAAACCAAACAGCCTTGTGTTCTCGTACTTTGTATTGCAGCAGCTAGTTGGCGGTGGCAAACATACAAGGTGGGAGTGAAGAGAATAAAAGCATCATCCCCAAGAGATCGTCCAAACTGAAGAAACACAAAATTTAAAAACAAACAAAAAAAAAAGACGGAAAAACACATATGCGCAAAGGGAAAAAAAAAAAAATGGAAAAAAGAAAAAAAACGGAATGCGCTATTGTGTGTCTGAACCCTGTGTCCATGCATCACACTCACACTCACACACACACAGAGAGAGAGAGAGAGATATATAAATACATACATACAGGTGCTATATACCACTGAAAACAGGCAGGTATTTCACATTCTGTTGCAAAATCCTCATCTCCCACTATCCCACATTTTCGTTTGTTGGAGTTTTGTTTGTTTGTTTTTCACATTGCTTCCCACCCTTCACTTTTTCTTCACTTTGTTCATTCTTTTTCACTTCAGCGTCAATTCGCCATCCCATGTCATTCCTCCTCCCTCTTTCACGCCTTTTAAGCTCACTCCGTGGTGAGTAGCGACATGAGGTGTTGAATTGTGTGGGCGTTACGGCTCGGTGTGGCCGGAAAAACAGTAGGAGTTCCTACGCGATCATTAACAACAGTATCACAGCCACCGCCTCCTAATAAGCTCAGCAACCCCGACGAGTTCTTTGCCTCCGCAAAAGAGGCTGAAGAGGTGCTGGGGTTCCTGTGGGTACTGCTCCTTAATTGCGTTTCCGCCGGGCTAGGGTCGTTGACGTCACCACCCGCCCCGACTAGTTCCCGCAACAGTTGACTCTTAAGCGCCTCTGAAGTAGAAGAAATGTCAATGTGCTTGTTGGTGCTCACTGTAGACTCGCCGTTGCTACCGCTGAGGGAGCCCCACACTTCCCCATGGGATGCCGCAGAAGCCATCTTATTCAACTCATGACTCAAAAAGACAGGGTTCTCTCCCGCTGTCAGTGTGGTTGGTTCCGTCCTGGCCGTCGTTGTTGCCCCGCTACTAAGTGTAGGTTCCCACAGACCTGCGTATCCATCATACCAGATGGCCGTGTTCAAAGGGGTTTGAGCAAGCGTCGAAGCCACCCAAGTATCATCGCCGACAGCATCATTAAGACTACCTGAGAAAGGAAAGTTGGGTCCATCCACTCTGTTCGTTGTGTTGGAGTTTTGGTGGTTCGCAATGGAGGGAAGATCCTGGTGGCCCCCTTCACTCTTCCCTTTTTGTTGTTGTGTTGCAGACTCTAAAAGCACTTCATTTATTATTCCATTGAGCGGTGTCCAATGAATGTCGTCGTGAATCCTATGACCAGCAAGCCGACTCCCCCTACTTTGTGACGCACCGAGTTTTTGCTTCATCACCTCATGTTGTTGTTGTTGTTGTGGATAGTGTTGACGATGGTGATGTGACTGGTGGTGGTGTTGCTGCTGATGTGGCTGGTAGCTTCCATGCTGGTTGCCGTTTCCCACTGCATTATTGCGGCCCCATGCCGTGCTCGCACTCGGAGAGCTCTGAGGCGCGGAAGAAGCAGCCATAGAAGAAGGCCGTCTATTTGCCTGCTGACTCCTCGGTGCCGGAATAAGTGTGCTGTGTGTTGTTGTGGCTGCGCTCTTGTGCTCCGTGACACGATTGGACTCGGCTGACGTCGTCCCTGCATGAAAGCTGTGCTGATGTTGGGATTGGTGTTGCTGCTGCTGCTGCTGCTGCGAGACTGAGTGGCTTCCGTCAACGCGCTGTCGTTGAAGCATGGCGGCCATAGACGTAACACCGTTATTGCCATTTCCCATCGGTGCCGCGGAGTTATTGAAGTACGCCACCACATGGGCGTTGTTGCAGGCTGCGTGACTAAGGCAGGCGCCCTGTCTCCAGTTGGCGCACAACTTCATTGGCCCCTCCATTCGCCCCTCGCGCTTGAGCGCAAGCGCCGCCTCGCTCCCCTGCGTGGGGCTGAGGTCCTCCTCGTTCACATACAGCGTGTGCGAGGGGGATATTTGTACCAAAACACGGTCCGCCGGACCCGTTGGTTGAAAAAAATGCTTAGTCACGTCAATGCCTTTCGCACGTCCTTTGCCGCGTCCCATGGTGTGCAGACACAAGCAAATAAATATATTTCTTTCTTTATATATATATATGTATACTTTGTTGTTGTTGTCGTTTGCCCCCCTTCTCTATTCCTTTTGCCAAAAATAAAAACAACTACTTTTCCTCCTCCTTCTCTTTTTTTCCTCCTTTTGTAAAGCTACTAAAACTGCTGTACGATTAAGGCAGATGTGTCAGTTGCTCACTGAAGCCACTGTGTGACGAAAAAAAAAAAAAAAAAAGACACAGTAATGTAGTCACCATCGTCATCGTAAAAACTAACAAAGCGAAGACGCAAAGCCTCGCCACACACGCACACAATACGCCCAACACAACAAACACTATATATAGACGGTGAGTCGTGAAGTGATGGTGGTTCTCAAATACAGAGCCCCCAGTTGATTCCCTAATGCCCAGCAGCAAACTAACATCCCGGCTCACAAGGGAAACAGAGCAAATGCGGCAACAAAAACAACAACAACGCCAGGCTTCATTTGTCTTCATCCGATCTTTTTACGTAAGGTAAACATATGTGTGTGTGTGTGTGTACGCGAGAATGCGGCAATGTCTTCATTGCCTACCGTGAAGCCGATGCAGACGCGGCACCACTCATTGACCCAGCGTTGCGGTGGGTACGAGAGGACTCCACCTTGCGGCGCAGACGCCGACCAGTGCTCAAGTTCTTCTTCATGAGAGCCGCGTCGCGCTCCACAACCTCCTTGCGGTTCACATACTCTGCGTTAAGGTGTCGTCGGATGCCAATCTTTGCTATGTCCGGGTGGTTCACGCCGTACAGGTGGTCGTAACGCGTCTCAGGCACCTCGTTCATCCACGTAGGGGAGCGGTCGTGCAGACTACGAGTGCGATCCTCGTAAATGTCACCTGAGCGCACATCATCATACCGCTCCTTTGATTCCGTGACGTATAACGTCTCCTCTAACGGTGGCTGCTTCCATGCAGGACGTTCGTTAAAGAACGCTGGTATCTCCACCGTTGCTAACGGCGCCTGCGTGGCGTCTGGGTGGTTGAA